AGAGAAGTTGGCGCCTGGCGCAGGGGAGGGGTCAATTGGGGCCAGCATCCAGGAGTGAGGGGCCGAGGGAGGTTGGCCTGCCAGCCCCAATAAGAGCCATCGGGGCCATCTCTGGGAATGGACCACAAGAGGTTGGTTGGTCATGGGAGGTTGGTTGTGGGAGCACCCTGGCCACCCGGCCAGCCCAAGGGGGAGGGACCGTGGGAGGTTGGCCGTCCACGGGAGGTTGGTTGTGGGAGCGTACTGACCACCAAAGGGGCAGCTCCTGGATTGAGCATCTGCCCCCTGATGGTCAGTGCACATCATTGTGACTAGTTGACCCGTCATTCAGTTGTTTGGTCATTCGGTCTTAATGGTCATTTAGGCTATTCTATATAATAAAGAGCTAATATGCAAATGGTCATCATGCCCTCATGCCCTGGCACCCTCGTGCCCTTGAGCTGGAACTGCTCATACGCTCAACACTGGGGAGAGAGGAATGTGGACCAGCCAAGCACAAATGAGCTCACAAGAGAGAAATGGGAACCAGCCAGGCACAAATGAGCTCCCAAGAGAGGAATGGAGACCAGCCAGGATGTGGCCCGGGAGATGGACAAGCTGCCCGCCCCATGGTCTCAGACAACAGCGGCTGTGCCTGCAGCCTGGGAGAGGGACAAGCCACCCACCCTCTGGTACCATGCACTTGCGGCTGCAGCCCAGACAAAGCTGCCCACCCACTGCCCCCTGCAGCTGAGGCCAGCCTGGGCAAAGCTGGCCTGGTCCTGGGTGACTGCAATGGGCCGAAGGAGGGAATTCTGGGTCCCAGGTGCAGGACGAGGCAGAGGTGGTTAGGGGTGGATCAGGCAGGCAGAGTGGTTAGTGGTCAAGCAGGAAGGCAGGCGAGCAGTTAATAGCCAGTGGTCCTGGATTTCGAGAGGCAGTCAGACTTCCCCCAAGGAGTCCCAGATTGGAAAGGGTTCAGGCTGGGCTGAGGGACCACAAACCCTACCTCCCACCCCCTGTAACACAAATTTCATAAATCAGGCCTCTAGTATATATAGAGGCCCGATGCATAAAATTCATGCAAGGGGCTCAGCTCTCGCAGCCCCGGCTGCCTTGGCCAGCCCTTGTAGCCTCAGCCAGCCCTCACAGCCCCAACCAGCCCTTATAGCACTGGCTGTCCCAGCCAGCCCTTGCAGCCTCTAGCAGCTCCAGGCAGCTCTTGCAGTGCCTAGCAGCCCTAGCCAGGCCTCCCAGCCCCTCACAGCCCTGGTTGGCTCTCACAGCCCCTCACAACCCTGGCCAGCCCTCGCAGACCCTCGCAGCCCCAGCCAGCCCTCACAGCCCTGGCTTCATCCAAAAGGTCATCAGGACAAGCATCTGAAAGGTCGTCCATAGTCGCTCTACTGTTCAGGCTAATTAGCATATTAACTCTTTATTATATAGGACTAGAGACCCAGTGCATGAATTCCATGCATGGGGGAGTGTTCTTCAAGCCGGTCTGCATCCTCTCCAATCTGGGACCCCTTGGGGGAGGTTGGAGCAGGTGAGTGGGCAGAAATTAGGCCTAAACCAGCAGGTGGACATCCCTCTCACAATCCAAGACTGCTGGCTCCTACTCTCTCGCATGCCTGCCTGCCTGCTTGATTGCCCATAACCACTTCTGCTTGCCAACCTGATTGCCCCCTAACCACTCCCCTGCAGGCCTGATTGATGCTTAACTGCTCCCCTGCTGGCCCAATGGCTCCCAACTGCCCTTCCCTGCCGGCCCAATTGCCCACAACTGCCCTGCCCCTCCATGACACATCTCCTCCTCTGGGCCCCACCTCCACTGTGTACACGGCCATCTTGTGACGGCCATCTTATGATGGCCATCTTGTGATGACGTGAGGGCATGATGTGTGAGGGTGTGACACCACCTAGGCCAGTGATGGCGAACCTTTTGAGCCCGGCATGTCAGCATTTTGAAAAACCCTAACTTAATTCCGGTGCTGTGTCACATATAGAAATTTTTTGATATATCAACCATAGTAAAACAAATATTTATATTTTTGATATTTATTTTATATATTTAAATGCCATTTAACAAAGAAAAATCAACCAAAAAAATGAGTTTACGTGTCAACGCTGATATGTGTGTCGTAGGTTCGCCATCACTGATCTAGGCTATTATTAGTATACATTGTATTATTTTCCATTTAAATGACTGTTAACTTACTTTTGCCCCACCTTGCTATCTATATATATAAAACTCTAATATGCAAATAAAGCAAACAGCAAAACAACCAGTCACTGTGACGTGCACTGACTACCAGGTGGCATGCACTGAACATGGCCAAATATGGCAGGCATCAGCAGCAGAGCATGAAACATTGTGGGCATCGGCTGTGACGGGATGGTTGAGCAGGTGAATAGAGGTGCAAGACCAAGGCAGGGCACTGATCGCTATCATTGGGGCGAGTTTCTGGTGATTACTGAAAATTCTTTGCTCCTGCGTATCATGGTCCCACCAGTGTCAAACAGTGTGCTAGACTCTCTTATCCAAATCAAACAGTGTACTGGAATCTCCCTCTGGTAGGCTGAACTTCTACAAATTCTCTCTCCTGTGTGTCTTCCCAGGTCAGTACTACCCAGATTTTTTTTTTCCTTTACCAAAGTAAGTGTAGGTGGGGCTGATTTTCCAATGCCCTTGGATCCATGTTCCTCACCAAGATCTTATTTATTTATTTTCCAGTGCACTGATGGGCAAGAGTCTTCCACATTCAGAATGAGGAACACCTTTAGCTGGTTGCCATGGCATTAAGAATTGGGACAGTCATGTTGCTAAGCAGTTAAAACTAGAATGAGGAGGAATTGTAGCATGCTGCTATAGTACTTAGAATTGGGAGAGTCTTGTTCCTAAGCAGTTAAATTATAAAACATAATCAAATGGGAGATGAAAGAAAAATGATTTTTTTTTTGGTCATATAAAGTTCTGTGTTCATGGTAATCCGTGATATATAGGTTAAAAAAAAAAAGAAAGAAAGAAAGAAAGACCCTGGGAACCATTCATATTATTGCTGGTAAGTAACTCTCAAAAATTTAGCTATAAAGAATGAAACACTAGTATATTTCTCTACACAGGAATACACACACATAACCAGAAACACAAAATGATTCTTTGCCAATTTTTGAGATCTCAAGGAGGATCTACTTATTAAGGCTTATTCTGCTCTAATTAACTTGCTTGAGAGCCACAACATTGTGTTCTTAATAGATTTTACTCATAGTTTGGAAATACTGAATTTGGCTACAAAGGAAAGTGAGAGGTGGTAATTAGGGTACAGTCATTGTTGAATTTAATAACGCTGCTTCCCTCCCTCCTTTAGGACTTGCTGATTCTGAAAGTACATTATTTTGCCTTCAGTGCACTCCCATTTCCAAATATTTACTCTCCCAACTAGTTTGATTCCTTTCACTTTATATGGCTAAAGTTTTTTAAAATATTATTCTTCTCAAGAGTATAATTAAACAAAAACTTTTTAGTTAATCCATCACGAACCCAATATACTCCTCCTGCAATAACACTAATGTCTATTGAATATAGAGCTTAGCATAAAGTAGATACTAATATTTGGAGAATATTGGTGCTTTGTCCCTTCCAGTTTCACAGGGTTAAATAATTAGAGAAATGCAGAAAGGAGATAATACAAATAATAACCTATTATATTGGAAGTACATATTATATATTACAAAAATTGGAAACAATAAAGTATGTGAATAGCGTTTATATCTCTCTAAAGATATTCTTCTTTGATAGTGAAAGGAAGACCTACATATTGATATTTATACAAAGTCCATATGTAGAAATTAATTCCCCTTCATTAAAACATGATATATGTTCAATTTTTTAAATTATTTATTGTTGAAAGTATTCCATATGTCTCCTTTTCCCCCCATTGACCTCTCCCAGTCTGCTCCTGCCTCCCGGCACAGGCCCTCAGCCCCCTATTGTCTTTGTCCATTGATTATGCTTCTATACATAGGATATATATTCACTTTCATTTTATATTTTTATTGGGTAGTTTCATACATATCCATATATTGAAAGAACAGTATCATAAATTTACATGTGTCCTTTTTCTAGGCTCAGTAAGTATTAATTGATGGCCAATCGCCATCCCTTTGTACATCCACACTGTCACTCTGCCTTCTATTATTTATGAGTAAACAGGCAAATGCATGCAGTGCACTGAGTCTTGTCTGGAGCCAAACACTAGCTCATTTTTAACCCTTTGCTTCCACCTGAACCTTATGACCCCCATCTCTGTCCCTGCTCTTCATTTTTACTTTTTTTTAGTGTTGCTTCTCTGATGATGTGCCTCTCCCAGAAGTCAAAATAAAGGTCAGCACTGCATAGAGCCAGGGCAGATAGAGGAGACACAGCAGTGATGCTTCATGCCCTGCCCTTCTTTCCGCTCACCAGTGGCTGCATAAGGTGGCTCCACAATGGCTGTGGGTGAAGCCTTGGTGCATGTGAAGGTAATCCTTCTTCTGCTCTGGCAGGGGGTGTTTCTGTTTCTTTCTGGATGGTCCCAGATTGGGAACTCTCAACGTAACGGTCCCCCAGAAGTGGTGATTCCCATGAGGCATGCCAGCAGCACGATGCCTCTGGGCTGGCTCACTTACAGCCTGCATTTTGAGGGGCAGAGACACATTGTGCACATGAAGGTCAACAAGAATTTTCTATCCAGACACTTCCGAGTGTTTACCTACACAGACCAGGGCGCTCTCCTTGAGGACCAGCCTTTTGTAAAGAATGACTGCTACTACCAGGGTTATGTGGAGGGGGACCCAGAATCCCTGGTTGCCCTCAGTACCTGTTTGGAGGGTTTGCAAGGAATACTACAAACAAATGACCTTGTTTATGAAATACAGCCCAAGAGACTTTCTACCACCTCAGAACATTTCATATATAAAGTGGACAGTGAGGAGACACAATTCCTACCCATGAGATGTGGAGTAACAGATGAAGAAATAGCACAACAACTGAAGTTTCAAGAGAGTGCTAATTTCACTTTGATGCAGAGTGGGTATGATGTCTGGTGGACACACAGGCGGCTTCTTGAACTGGCAGTGGTGGTAGACCACAATCGCTATCTTCATCACCGAAGTAACACCACAGCTGTGCAGTATGAAGTATTACTTGTTGTCAACGGAGTAGATAACTTTTTGCATTCACTGGATATTGATGTGGTTTTAATGGGAATTGAGGTCTGGACTGAAAAAAATCTCTTTACAATAAATACCATACGTGGTCTCCTGAATGAATTTTCCACATGGAAGATAACTAGCTTGAATAACCGCATTCCCCATGATGTTGCACATCTTTTTGTAAAGCATGACTTTGGTATTACTGTTGGCTTATAATTTCACTTTGATGCAGAGTGGGTATGAAGGCTGGTGGACACACAACCGGCTTCTTGAACTGGCAGTGGTGGTGGACCACTATCGCTATCTTCATCACGAAAGCAACACCACAGAAGTGCAGTATGAAGTACTACTTATTGCCAATAAAGTAAATAACTTTTTGACTTCATTGGATGTTGATGTGGTTTTAATGGGAATTGAGGTCTGGACAGAAAAAAATCCAATTAAAATAAATAACATAGTAGATCTCCTGGAAGAATTTTGCATTTGGAAGCAAACTAGCTTTAACAGCCGCCTTCCACATGATGTTGCACATCTTTTTGTAAAACATAGCTATGGCGTTACTCTTGGCATAGCCTTTATTGGAACAGTATGTAACTTTACATATAATTGTGGAGTGGAAAGTTTAATGTACAATAACTTGTATACAGTTGCATACACTATGATCCATGAGATTGGTCATAATTTCGGTATGCTACATGATGGACCAACTTGTTCATGTGGACATAAAACCTGCGTAATGTTTTCAGGTATATCAGGTACAACAAGATTCAGCAACTGCAGCTATGCTAGCTTCATCAACACCACAGCAAGTCAAAACTGTATGTACATTTCATCTAATACAGGGAACATCTTCACACTTGCATGGTGTGGGAACAGTGTGGTTGAAGAAGGAGAAGAGTGTGACTGTGGCGCTTTACATTTGTGTATAAATGATCCCTGCTGTGAGTCAAATTGCATTCTGAAACCTGGGGCTGCTTGTGCTTCTGGGCTTTGTTGCAAAGACTGTCAGATCCTGCCTACAGGCGAAATTTGCAGACAAGAGGAAAATGACTGTGATCTCCCAGAGTGGTGCAATGGGACATCCTACCATTGTCCAGAGGATGTGTATGTGCAGAATGGGATGCCATGCAAGGACGGTGGCTACTGCTATGAAAAGAGATGCAATAACCGTGAAGAGCAGTGTAGGAACATATTTGGCAAAGAGGCCAAGAGTGCAAATCAGAGTTGCTACATAGAAATGAACACCCGCGGTGACCGTTTTGGGAACTGTGGTTTCAAGTACTCTAGATATGTAAAATGTAACATCTCAGATACCTTGTGCGGGAGGATTCAGTGTGACAATGTGACAGAACTTCCCCTTCTGAGAGATCATTCTACTGTGCACTGGACTCACTTCAATGGCGCCACCTGCTGGGGTACCGACTACCACTTCGGGATGACCATACCTGACATTGGTGATGTGAAAGATGGGACAGAGTGTGGGTCAGAACATGTCTGCATCCAAAGGAAGTGTGTCCATAGGTCACTTCTGGTAACTAGTTGTTCACCTGAGACCTGCAATCTGAAAGGAGTCTGCAACAACAGGCAGCACTGCCACTGCAACACAGAGTGGGACCCTCCCTTCTGCCTGAAAAAAGGCAGTGGAGGTAGTATAGATAGTGGCCCACCTCCTGGGAGGAAAGAGAATGAAAAGCACCAAGGGAAGAGTTACCTGCTAATATTTTGGCTTATTCCTCTTTTGATAGTCTTAATATGTTGGCTATTTTTCCTCTTTACTTGCATCTTAGGCAACAGCTAGGGAAAAAGAAGGAGAATGTTCCAACTTTACTTGAGAAAGAAAAGCAAAAGTTATGATTTAAAAAAAATCCAAATGTATTAACTTTCCCATGTATTAACTTTGTCTCCTTGCAGTAAAACTATGACAGTAGGTGGCACAGACCATTGACAAAAAATCTCCAAGATATTTTCTCATTCAGGATCATAAACATTAGCCATTAAAAATAAGCCAAATTTACTAATTCTGAACATATTTCAACATTCCATTATTTTAAACAATGTTAGTAGCTAGTTTTCCATGGAACAGGTCTCTTTTGGTCTCTTGAGCAAAGGCACAGCTCATGGATTATTTGTACTTGTTTTTAATTGGTTTCTGAATGGTCCCAGCTTTGGCATATCAATATCTTAATTCCAGACATCCTTCCCCTTTGTACTCTGCATTCACACAGGACATGAGAACCTACATATCACATTTCTTCTTTGGCATTCCTCTCCTGTCACTTCCTGCCAATAGTACAAATGAGAGGGAGAAGGGAATCTTGGGGAATTTTTTATTGGTTCACATCACTATTTCTTCACTAAGAGCTTACACCATGGCATCAAAAGTGACGTCGTGTATGCACATCTTATATGTAGATAACATTTATATATATTATATTTGTTCAGTTGTTTGCTTCTAACTCCCAGAGCCAACCAACATACGGTCAGCCTCAAGCATCTTGGCACAGCTACCAAGTATCTTTAATGTCTAGTTTTAGAGTGGCAGCCTTTGAATCCTCCATCAAATCCCTGATGCCAGCACCAAGTTGGTTCTCAGAGGTCAGAATTCTGTATTCATGGTACTCATCCAAAGGTATGGGACCCACCACCTCATCCCTTTGATTGCCTGTCTTGGGAGCAATGTCCATATCTACTTGTTAATAAGTTAACATCAGCAGCGTGGTGTGGTTTCTTTTCATGACAGAACTCAATAGATATAATATTATCTTAGGATAATTGAGAACACAGAAAAGAGTCTTATATCAGAACGTTTTGAATTTCTTATAAAACCCATCTTGTAGGTATGATTTACTCTTAGAATTACTTTAAAATTGGAAAGGACGGGGACTTTACCATTAAATAGGGTGAAGAAGATTCTTGCAATTCAATGTAAGACATAGAAGTATTGAGTATTAATATATATGTAAGTATTTTTTCCTCTGGGAAAAAAAAGAACAAGAAAATCCCAATTTTAAGAACCATATTTAAGGACATCAAAATGCAAAGAAGCGATGTGGAATAGAGTACCACAAATTCCAGGCTGGGAAATCATTCTGAAAAGCATTGAATCTAGCCAGCCATTTTTTTCTCTGAGCTCTTGGTATTATTCGATGTGAGTTGAGCCTTAGCCTTGACTCAGCTAAAAGACTTCTGCTGAAAGAAAGAGAAATCACCAATGCTCTTAGTTTCAACACACGCTTAGATAGATTCACAAATTAGACATTGAGCGGTTTCTAATTTATAATAATTTTTCTCCAAGTCCCATTTGCTTAATTTCAGGGCTTTGTGGGTTGCTGGTGAGCTAGTCTAAAATTTATCAAAGCATAGTTTCCTAAAATCATGATATATTTTGGACACAGACATAGTAAAAGGAGGCTTATCTCAAGCATCTGTACTGTTCTCCATAACACACTTATCTGATTTTTATGTTGCATGTGGCAAGTGGCTAGACAGCTGAATTGTGGACCTCTAAGTGAGAGAGATGAATCCCCCATAATCTTTCAGAGGTGAGAGAATAGAGTCACATAAACTCATAATTAATTGAAAGTCTAGCAGGCTCATGCTTAAACAACACAAAAAAATGGAGCGTTCATCCAAAATTTCTAAAAATCATTCACCTCAGACCTAGCACTAGCCATGAACAGATTTAGGTAATCAACTTCTCAGCTAATCTTTCTAACAGAATTAAGAGACAAGACTCTCTAAAAAAAAAAAAAAAAAAGCCATCTGGAGCATTTTTGGTTGTTTATACACAATTACTTGCATACAATAAAATTACTATACATGCTAAGAGACAAAATTTGTAACTTATTACTGAGAAGAAAAAAAGAAGGAAAGAAAAAGAGCAACTATAATTGGTGTCAAGATTATCCAGCATATGGAGCAATATTGCACAAAAAGAATTATGATTAATATAATATATATACAAAATATAAGAAAACTGTAGAATATTAATAAATTTAAATCTATTTAAAAGGTACCAAGTGGATATTTTAGAATTAAAAATTATAATCCTATCTAATAAAAGAGAAACATGGTAATTAGCATACGACCGCTACCCTTCCCATTGGCTAATCAGGGCGATATGCAAATTAACTGCCAGCCAAGATGGTGGCCGGCAGCCAGGCAGCTTAAAGCTAACATGAGGCTTGCTTGCATCAGTGACGGAGGAAACCACATTCCCCACCTGCCATGCCAGCCTCTGAGGCTGCAGTTTGAAACATTGCAACAAATATAGAAGCCAAGCAAAACCCCAGAAATCTGCTTTCAGCGAGCTGGGATCTCAGAGCTAGAGTTATACATTGTTTCGATTATAGAACCCAAATAAACCAGATACCTGCTTTCAGCAGCAGAGGCCTCAGAGCTGGAGCCAGAGCTAAAGCTGGCCCAGAATAAATTTAAAAAATGAAAAAAAGGAGTGGTTGGGAACTTCAGTCGCCCCCAGCCTGAAAACAGCCCTCAGCCTCACACCCAGACTGGCCAGGACCTCCAGGAC